TATCATTGATGACATGCGAAATCGGTTTGGGATAAACTTGACATATCACAAAGCATGGCGGTCGAAACGCAAGGCTGTTGATGAAGTTCGTGGCAAGGTTGATGAGTCATACGATTATGCTCATCAATATCTTAGTAAGGTACGTGCATCAAACCCGGGTAGCATTGTGCTGATGCGCACCACATGGGATAAGAATTTCATGTACGTTTTCATGGCACTTGGAGCATCTGTAAAAGGATGGGTGCATTGTCGGCCAATCGTTATTGTTGATGGGACTTTTTTATCGTCAGTGTATGGAGGAATTTTATTGACAGCCTCTTGTCAAGATGCAAATTCTCATATATTACCTCTTGCCTTTAGCGTTGTTGACTCCGAAAATAACAACTCCTATGTCTGGTTTTTCACCAAATTGCATGAAGTAGTTGGTGATAGGGATGGTCTTTGCATTGTCTCAGATGGGCACGAAAGCATAAGGCACGCAGTAGAAAAGGTAGTACTGAATCTTCTCCATTTTTTTTATATTTTTTTTTATTTTTTTTTTTTTGCGCAGAAATATATCTACCCCAGTAATTGGTATATTTTTAGTAACAGTTGGGTAATTGTGTCTGTGACATATAATATGACATATAATATGTCATCCCAAGTTATTCACAGTAATTGGTATATTTTTAGTAACAGTTGGGTAATTGTGTCTGTGACATATAATATGACATATAATATGTCATCCCAAGTTATTCCCAGTAATTGGTATATTTTTAGTAACATTTGGATAATTGTGTCTATGACATATAATATATTCACCTTCGATATTTTTTTTGCTCGCTTCTATTTTTTAATAATATTTTATCCAGCTAGTAGTATATGTTCAGTAAACATTGTAGGTTTTATAAATTATACGTAATATAATTTATCTTTACAGATTTTTAATCTCCAATGTATTTTATTAGTTGATTTGCATATCTCTGAAATGTTATAATTAATTTATATAGGTATTCCCTAATGCGGCGCATTGTCTGTGCACGTATCACATCTCAAACAAATTGAAGATGCGTTATAAGACCGAAGCACAGGCAGTGAAGGAGGAGTTTTATGCAGCTGCGAGGGCCTACACATTAGAGGAGTTCGATAAGCATATAGCACAGATAAATAAGTTGAATCCTCATGTGGTGCCATATCTAAAAGAAATTGGATTTCACAAGTGGGCAAGGGTTCACTGTCCCAGTAATAGATATTTTTCCATGACATCTAACGCTGCGGAGTCAATAAATGCTGCCATACGATCCGTCCGTGATCTACCGATAACACCACTACTAGAGGCGCTTAGAGATATGCAACAAAGGTGGAATGTGGCAAATAGAGATGAAGCAAAGGCCACTTTTACTCCTCTTGCAAAGAAGCCACATAGGTGGTTGGAAACTAATTACCAAATGGCAGCAAGATATTCGGTGAGTTGTTATTTATGTTTTAGTATTTTATTAATGAATTATAGTCGTTATATACTATACATATACTGGCAAACTGTTAACGATTATATATTTATGCTTATGCTAATATATACAACACATAAACGTGGTGTAAAAATCCACATGGTTTGAATGATTATATACTAGATACATAATATTATGAAAACAAGGCTGCACATATTATGTTTGATATTTTGTGGGATTTTTTTTTTTTTTTTTTTTTT